CTCCAGTCTGGGTGACAGAGTGAGACTCCAACTCAAAAAAAAAAAAAAAAAGCTTCTACCAGGTTTTAAGGCTGCCTGATTATTGAGGAGTTAGGGAGAATGAAGATAATTCTTGATATAACCCTTTCAATCTCTCTCTGGTCCTCCTGCCCTCCCATCTCACTGCCTCCAGAATCTTAATCTGTTCCTTTCTTTCTCTTCTTCTGTCAGTGACTCAGGGAACTGGATGAGTCTCGATGGCTTGTTTTGCTCTGAAGAGCAGAAGGCTTCGGTCCCAACTGGTGTTGCCAAAGCAACATACCAATTCCATGCCATGGTCCCGGGTCAAGATTTGCACAATCTGACTGGCCATATCACCTCGGATAGTGAGGGAGTGGAAGTGGTCAAAATCATGGAGTCCCAGCTTTCGGAGACGCCTTGCGGCTGACCGGTAACACTTCCAGGGCTGGGGCTCCACAAGGAGGTAGCGGCAGAGGGAAGAGAGCTGGGCCAGGAACTCCCACAGGCCATGGTCCCCATGGTTCAGATGAATCCACATGGTTATCGACATGCAGAAGCCAATGTCAAAATCTGAACGCCCAAACTGCCTTAAGAAAGAGCTCAAGAGAACCTTCCGGGTCCCTTGACTCATGAAGTCCAGGGTGATGAAGGTCAGGGCATCAGGAAAAGGACATTCTTTTTCAGCTCTCTCCACCAGAACTGGATCTATGTCACAGCAGAGGAGACGGAGTTCTCTTGAGGCTTCTGAGCAGGTCTCCCCATCACGCAGGGAAAGGAAGTGTTTGTATAGAGCCACACTCAGATCCTAGAGGAATCCAAAAGAACTTTGTCATTGCAGCTCTCAGTCAGTGAATGGAAGAGCAATCTACATCTTTTATCCTCCCACAAAGAATGCCATTTACCCGGGCTTTATAGGACATGAGGCTCCTAAACCCTAACCTAAGGAAGGCGTATAGTTCTTTACGGAGCAGGCTCTCAGTGCCCTCCAGGGGTCACATGCTGTATCGCAGCATCCCTGTATTTTCCTGACACTGATGGCAGATTGGGTTGTATAGTTGGAAGCTACAGCCAAATGGGTGCAGCAAAGGAACCTAGACCGGTATTTCCCAGCTTCAATGATATGCTGGTAAACTTGCTATCTTCTTTTGGGTATCTCAGACATTAGGGGGAACAAAAGGGATCCAGAGGCATAACCAGTGTTCCTTAAGAAGGAAGTGAGGAAGCACATGTTATAAGAACCTTCTCAGACCTAGGGTTGGGAAAGTCTAGATGCCAAAGTCCTCATTCAGCCTTTACATATTCAGTTTTGCTACCCGTCAGCCTTCACTCTCTCCCTCTGAGACTTACTGTGCTTCTGTAGCCATCACTCCTAAAAGTCCTTGCTGACTTCTTTCTAGCCAAATTCGATGATTTGTGATTTTTACCACCTTAGCACCTTTTTGACTCTTAAGTCACCATCTTCTTTCTCTTTGGTTTCTATAGCCATTCTAACTAGCTCAATTTTGGGTTGTTCTAATAGTTTTTTTCCAAGGCATTTTCCTGCTCACTACCTAATTTGCTTGCTGCAACAATTGTGTGAAGAAAATAATTACATATGCCTTTTGTGCAGGTGAAGAAAATGCACATTGGAAACTACCTAGATGTCCAATAATGGTAGCATGGACAAGTCAATATGGTATAGTTATTAAGACAGAATACTAAGTAGTTAAAAATGAAAGAACTCAGTTCAGTGCAACAACATGGATGATTCTCACAAATATATAGTACTGAGTAAAAAAGTAAACCACAAGAGCAAATATATGGTAAGCTTCCACTTACACACAAGTCAGGCTAGTTGTTTCCTCTAGGTGGAGATAGAGGTTTATGAGCAGGGAAAGGCATATGGGGGAAGTTTTGGGGTACTGATTTTTTTTTTAGTTAGTCTCATTCTGTTGCCCAGGCTGGAGTGCAATAGCATGATTCCAGCTCACTTCTGTCTCAACCTTCCAAGTAGCTAGAACTATAAGGCATGAGCCACCACACCTGGCTGATTTTTTTTTTTTTGAGTGGGAGTCTCACTCTGTCACCCAGACTGGAGTGCAGTGGCCGCTCCCAGCCACCACAGCCTAAACCCACTGGGCTCTGGCGATCCTTCCACTTCAGCCTTCCGAGTAGCCGGAATTACAGGCACGTGCTACCACGCCTGGCTGATTTTTGATTTATTGTAGAGATGAGGTCTCGCCAAGTTGCCCAGGCGGGTCTCGAACCCGCGGGCTCAGGCAATCCACCCGCCTCGGCCTCCCAAAGGCACGGGATTACAGGCTGAGCCACCGAACCCGGCTGATTGTTTAAATTTATTGTAGAGACGAGGTCTTGCCAAGTTGTCCGGGTTGGCCTCGAACCCCTGGGCTCAGGCAATCTTCTCACCAAAGTGCTGGGATTATAGGCATGAGCCACCGCACCCGGCATGATGTTTTATTCTTTACCTGAACTTGGGTCGTAAAAGTATTTCTCATGTAGACTTATGTTTTATGCACTTTTCTGTATTTATGACATAGTTCACAAAAGATTATAAAACGTGATGGCTCAGGAGCTAGTGGCCTGTCCGACATCACGTGGCTGGTGAAATGGCAAGACTTAGGCTATATTAGATTCTTTCCTCTACAGCAGGCTTCCCCAACTTTAATGGGCATACAGATCACCTAGGGATCTTGTTAAATTACTTTTTCTCCTCCAACCCTTTTCTGTCAGTAAGATGGAAATTGTTAAAATAAAGATGCTGATTTAGTAGATCTGTGCTGAGGGCTGAGAGTCTGTAAGCTGCCAAGGCATGCCAATGCTGTAGTTCAGGGCTCACACGTTGAACAGCAAGGCCCTATACCATCCTGCCTAACTTCTCCTTACCTATTTATTTCTTCCCTATCTTATTCATCTTGCCTGTTCTTGGGTGCAGCCCCATGTTTTGCTGGTTACTTCATCATATCAGTTCCTTTTCCACGTCTTCATCCTCTCCATCCTTAATTTCCCAATAAGAAGTTTACTGGAGAGCTTAAAAAATACAGACTTGAGGGCTCAATTCCCTAAAATCCTGATTCAGGAGGTCTAGAGTGGGGCCCAGGAGTTTTTACAATGGAGAAAAAGCACTCACAACTTATGGCATATTTATACAATTAAATATCGTAAAGCTGTTAAAGTGAGGTGTAAAATATGTGCTATTTTTAAAACTAAAAATATTTATACATATATAAATGCTGGTATACACATAGGATGGATTCCCAAGAAATTACAAACTGTGGTGCCACAGGGTGAGGGAAAAGGAGGACTTAGGGTTGGGAGTAGAGACTTGATTTTTACTATAAACCCTTTTGTACTTTGAATTTTTCTGGTTTTTTTCTTTTTTTTTGAGTCAGAGTCTCACTCTGTCACTCAGGTTGGAGTGCAGTATCATGCTTGAGGTTACCGCAGCCTCAGCCTGCTGGGCTCAGGCGATCCTTCCACTTCAGCCTTCCAAGTAGCTGGAAATACAGGCATACACCACTATACCCAGCTAGTTTTTTGATTATTGTAGAGATGAGGTCTTGCCAAGTTGCCCAGGCTAGTCTTGAACCCCCAGGCTCAGATAATCCTCTCACCTCGGCCTTCCAAAGTGCTGGGATTATAGGCATAAGCCACCGTATCCGGCTGTGTCTTTCAAATGAAACCATTTCTTTCTTTTTTAATTTTTCTTTTCTGACTACAAAGGCCCAGAAAAGACAGTGTAGAACAGTTAACTGTCGACTATGTCTTTGCCTCTCATGTGTATATACACTACTCTCAACTTTAAAATTTCGGGGGTTTTCCTAATGCCGTTTATGAAATCTCAAACCTTAAGCCTAGTCTCTCTTTTCTATTGTTTTTATCCTGTCTTCCTATATCATCACTGTGGAGAGATGTTTGCAGGGACCACCTGGACACTCATCCATCTGCTAATTCCGGTCTTTGAGACTATATTCAAATGTTTCCCTGCCACTTATGAGCAGTATCTCTTCAATCTTCCATCAATGTCTTTTCTGCCAATGGACATCAGCATGGTAAAATTCTCCATACCCCCTCCAGCTCCTGGTCTGGAGTGATGAAGAGAGTGGAGTGAGGGTACTAACTTTTGAAGCATTTGCCATCATAGGATTAGAATGCCGAGCTCCTCTAGAAGGTACCAGTGGCTACAAATAGGTGTGAAAGAGACATTTCCTTATTTTGCATGTATGTGGTTTGACTATAATCATTATAGACTTAAGAATACTTTGCAGTAACAGTGGCAATGCCTCGCTCCTCGACACCCTTGAGCAGAACTCTGTATTTCCTTCTTGGTCCTCTGCATTGTACTCCACCGTACTCAGTAAACTCATTGCTTTTCACTTTATGTTTTTTTTGTTTTGAGTTGGAGTCTCACTCTGTCACCCAGACTGGAGTGCAGTGGCCGCTCCTGGCCACCGCAGCCTCGACCTGCTGGGCTCCGGCGATCCTTCCGCCTCAGCCTTCCAAGTAGCTGGAACTACAGGCATGCGCTACCATGCCTGGCTGATTTTTTATTTATCGTAGAGATGAGGTCTCGCCAAGTTGCCCAGGCGGGTCTCGAAGCCGCGGGCTCAGGCAATCCACTCACCTTGGCCTCCCAAAGCGCTGGGATTACAGGCTGATCCACTGAGCCCGGCCTCACTTTATGTTTTAAGAGACAGGTTCTTCCTGTCATCCAGAATGCAGTGGTGTGATCATAGCTGACTGCGGTCTCCAACTCCTGGGCTCAGACCATCCTCCCATCTCAGCCTCCGGAGTAGGTGTGACTACAGGTGTGAGGCACCAACACTGGCCAATTAAAAAAAAACAATTTGTAGAGACATTCTCACTTTGTTGCCCAGGCTAATCTCCAATTCCTGGCCTAAAGCGACCTTCCTGCCTCGGCCTCCCAAAACGCTGAGTTACAGGGGTGAGCCACCATGCCTGGCCAATTCACTGCTTTTTAAATAAATATGCTCCTGGCTACAGGGCCTGCCCTACACTATATATATAACACACATGAGTCTTAATTCCAGGCATGATTCTGTCACCCCGGTTCATCTCTCCCAGTAAACAAGTTCCCACCCCCTGTTCCCAAACGTGGGTTTCTGGAAACCGCCTCTCCCCAGCCAGCTTGCCAGGCATGCTGGACAGGGCAACCCTAGATACAGTGACTACTTCCCACCTGGGGTCTGGTCCTGAATTCGGCGAAGGCCCAGATGGGGGCGCAGGAATTTGGAAAGTAGTAGAGAAGAATTCCTCCCCTAGATTCCCAGCAGAGCTGGTGCTGGAACCCTGGCGAACAGGTAGCAGCAGCACTGGATCGGTCAACGCTATGCTTTATTCTCATTTTGGGAAAGTTGTGATGGGGTTAAGCCACGCCCAGGCCAGAACCACAGTGGACACGGAGGCAGCCAACCGCTTGGCTCCTTGGTGCTCGGATCCCTCCCCGGTCACTCACCCCGGAGTTACACCCCACGTCGAGCCCCAGGATCGGCCTCGTCTCGGGACTCTGAGGAGGGAAGAGCCATCGAAGCAGCTCCGGGGGCAGGAGGCGGAGCCGTTGCTCCGGAGGGTGGAAGCGGGAATAATGAGGGAAATTTCCGTACGGGGCGGCGCCGGGTTCCAGAATTCGCGGTTCTTCTTCCGCCGCGGCCTCCTTAACGCCCGCTCCCGGCAGTTTCGTGGACGCCGCCATTAGACTCAGTCCGGACTTTGGGACCCGGCGGAACCGGAAGCCGGGAACCTGCGACCGGCGGGGCGGGCGAAGAGCCAGTGCGCGTGCGCAGAACGGCGAGGGTGGGTGGATGGGTTGGATTCATCAGAGAGGTGGGTTTGCCCTGAGGGCCCTGGCGCCCGGCAAGCCTCATCACAACCCTGGGAGGGCATTGGTAATGACATCCTCATTACAGGGAGGAAACAGGCGCTCTGAGGTTAAGTGTCTTGCCCAAGCTGACACAGTTTGAGACTTGGGCAATTTGACTCAGAACAAGGAGTGTGCTGGGATCTTGGAAATCAGTTTGGGGTCTTGGAAATCTTCCTTTATTTACAAATACACAAAGTGAGACCCAGAGAGGAAAAATTACTTGTCTGGGTTCACACAGTAAATCTGGGACTTAAGAACTTGCATCCGGTTCAGAAAAGGGTAGCCAGGAACTATGAGTCACTTGGGCCTCCAGAAGATTCAGCCTTGCCTGCCAGGAGAGACAGGTGGACAGGGCAACTGTGAGCTGTGAGCTCCTTGAGAGGCTAGTACTATACCTTAATACTAGCTTACCCTTAATAAGTAGCCTTAGTACTACTTTACCCTTCCAGAATGCTTACCAACTGGGGGCGGTGGCTCACGCCTGTAATCCTAGCACTTTGGGAGGCAGAGGCAAGAGGATAGCCTGAGCCTAGGGATTCGAGATCAGCCTGGACAACTTGGCAAGACTTCATCTCTACGATAAAAAAAAAAATTTGCCAGGCGTGGTGGCACACGCCTGTAGTTCCAGCTACTTGGAAGGTTGAGGTGGAAGGATCGCCTGAGCCCAGCAGGCCGAGTCTGCGGTGACCGTGAGCATGCCACTGCACTCCAGCCTGGGCGACAGAGTGAGACTACGACTTAAACAAAACAAAACAAAACAAACCAGTGTGCTAGCCGGGCTCAGTGGCTCAGCCTGTAATCCTGCGCTTTGGGAGGCAGAGGCAAGAGGATTGCCTTAGCCTGGACAACTTGGCGAGACCTTGTATCTAAAATAAATAAATAGCAGGGCTCGGTGGCTCAGCCTGTAATCCTGCGCCTTTGGGAGGCTGAGGTGAGTGGATTACCTGAGCCCGCGGGTTCGAGACCCGCCTGGGCAATTTGGCAAGACTTCATTTTTACAGTAAATCAAAAATTAGCCGGGCGAGGTAGCGCGCGCCTGTAATTCCAGCTACTTGGAAGGCTGAGGCAGAAGGATCGCCGGAGCCCAGCAGGTCGAGGCTGCGATGGCCGGGAGCGGCCACTGCACTCCAGTCTGGGTGACAGAGTGAGACTCCAACTCAAAAAAAAAAAAAAATAAAATAAATAAATAAAATAAAATAAATAAATATAAAACAGAGCTGGTAAGGAGAGAAGCTCAGGAGTCAGCCTTGTAGCAAGTTCCAGTCAGAAGCCAGGACGGCCTAGAATATCCAGTAGCATCAGCCAGGAGTCAGCAGAGTTGTTCCTCCCTGACCAGCCCATCTTAAAGGGACTTCCTGCTACATGAGGACACTGATTTGCTAAGATTCTTAAGAGGGACTGAAAATGACACCTGAAGAAAGAGCCATCAGGGATTAAAATAAGACATAGTGTTTTCTTCCCACTTTTAACTGAAATATAAAACTTTCAGCTTTGCCTGACCTGCTGTTTCACTGTTTTCTTATAAGATTGGGGGACATAAGTTTTTGTTGTTGTTGTTGTTGTTGGTTTTTTTTTTTAGTTGGAGTCTCACTCTGTCGCCCAGACTGGAGTGCAGTGGCCGCTCCCGGCCATCGCAGCCTCAACCTGCTGGGCTCCCGTGATCCTTCCGCCC